TGTGAGAGAGAGGAACAAAGACAGAGATAGTGAGAAGAAGAGGGAAAAGAGAGAGAGAGAAAGAAAGACAGAGAGAGTTGGAGAGAGAGTGGAGAAGTAGCAAAGGAAGGAGGAAAGAAAGATGGAAGCGAGAGAGAGGCAGAAGGTTAGAGACAAAGGAAGGGAGGCAAGGAAGGAAGGAAAGAAAAGAGAACGGGTGAGTGGGAGAGAGAAAGAGAGATACATAGAAAGAGAGAGAGAGACAGAGAGAGACAAAGAGAGAGAGAGAGACAGAAAAACAGACAGACAGACAGACAGATAGACAGACAGACAGAAAAAAAGAAAGAAAAACAGACAGACAGACAGACAGAAAAACAGAAAGAAAAACAGACAGAAAAACAGAAAGAAAAACAGACAGAGAGAAGTACAGAGATACAGAGCGAAAGATACTGAAAAGACCGCAAGAGAGAGACAGACAGAGAGAATGAGACAGGGATAAGAAAGGAAGTACTAAAGAAGGATGGGAGGTCGAGAGAGAGAATGATGTAAAATGTTATTTTTAGAGACACAATAATTAGACAGAGGTAAAGAGGAGAAGAAAGAGAGAGAGAGAGGGAGGGAAAGGAGAGATAGGTAGATAGATAGATAGATAGATAGATAGATAGATAGATAGATAGATAAAGAGATAAACAGATACATAGATAAATGCCTGGATATATAGAGAGATAGAGAAATAGACACAACGATAGATAGAAGGAGAGAGAGAGAGAGAGAGAAATAGAAAAACAGAGACACAGACACAGACACAGAAAAAGAGAGACAGAAAGAGAAAGAGAGAAAAAGAGACAGAGAGATAGAGAGAGACAGAGAGAGTCAGAGATAGAGACAGAAAGAGAGATACAGAGAGAGAGACAGCGAGGAAGGGTGAGAGAGAAAGACACACAGAGAGAGATAGAGGCAGAAAGTGAGAGAGAGACAGAGACAGATAGATTTACAGAGAGATAGAGAGAGACAGAGAGTGAGAGAAAGAGACAGAAAGAGAGACACACACAGAGAGATAGACAGACAGAGACAGAGAGACGCAGTGGCAGAGGGAGGGGGAGACAGAGAGAGGGAGAGACAGACAGAGATAGAGACAGAGAGAGACAGAGAGACAGAAAGACAGAGAGACCGAGAGATAGAGGCAGAGAGAGACAGAGATGGAAAGAGGGAGAGAGACAGAGAGACAGGGATAGAGAGAAACAGAAAGTGAGAGAGAGACAGAGAGATGAGACAAAGAGTCAGACAGAGCCAAAGAGAGATAGAGAGCGAGACACAGAGAGACAGACAGAGAGAGGGAGATGCAGGACATAGACAGAGAGGGAGACAGATAGAGAAACAGAGAGAGACAGAGAGAAAGAGAGAGGGAGGGAGAGAGGAAGGGAGAGAGGGAGGTTGAAGAGAAAGAAAGGTAGGCAAGGCAGGAGAGACACACTAGACAGAGAGAGGGAGAGACATAGAGCATGGGAGGGAGAGAGTAGACAGAAAGAAGAAGGAAAGAGAGGGTCAAGGAGAGAAAGAGATAGTGTCAGAGAAAGAGTCAGAGTAAGGATAGGAGGCATGGAATAACAAAAGGTGGGACAGAAAATAAAGTAAGATGGAAGAGAGGAGGGTAAGAGGGTAGAAAACTGAGAGAGAGGAGAGAGAAAATATGGGTCGTAGAGTAGGAGAGACAGAAAGGAAGAGAGGAAAGAAAGGAAGGAAAGAGAAAGAGAAGAGACAGGGAAGGGATGTGGAGAAACAGAAATATTATAGCACTGCTGCTAGAGCTGTGATTTCATCTAGCCATTCTTGAAATCTATGAAGGAGTAGTAGCTAAAAAATGCAATAGAAAATATCATGAAACAGTGTCCAAATTGTGCAACCACTTTGATTTAACAATACCATCACTATGCTGATTATAGGCCAGAGAGATCAAAGAAGGGGAAAGGCTCAGAGTATCTGAAAATATTTATCTTTATAGCAGTTCTTTTTGTAGTGACAGAGAACTGGAAACTTAGAATAGTGTGTATACATTGGGGAACAGCCAGAGAAATTATGCTATGTGAATTTGATAGTGTACTATTGTTTAAGAAATGAAAGGGAATGTTAAAGAGAAACTTGGGAAGACTGGTATGAACTCAATGCTGAATAAAGGGAGAAGCAATTTTTCTTTTTTTTTTCTTCCTTTTTTTTTGTGGTAATTTGGGTTAAGTGACTTGCTCAGGGTCACACAATGAGTAAGTGTCAGACGCCTGGTCTGAGACTGGATTTGAACTCAGGTTCTCCTGGCTCCAGGGCAAGTTCTTTACCCACTGTGCCATGGTAGCAATTTTTACAATAAGAACAACATTTTTGTCAAGACAAAGAACTTTTCAAAAGCCTTAAAGATTTTTAAGTTTTGGCTCGTTCTTTCTTGATTCCAAGGACCAATGATTTGCTGTCCACCTCCTGATGGAGAGATATAGTAGACTCTAGACTTAAGATGCAGAATGAGACATGCATTTTTTTGTTTGGATTTAATCTATAGGGAAATTTATTTTGTTTGTCTGCATGTTTGTGACAAGAGTTTTCTGTTTCTCTCATTTTTCCCCTTCTTAATTTAGGGGTTCAGGGTATTGGAAGAAGGAAAGTACATGTTGAATAAATCAGTAAAATAAGTTAATCAGAGATTACTGATTAAATGTCAGTGTGCTTTTCCCTTCATATTTTGATAAATTATTGCTACCTGAAATACTTTGTCTGCTTAGATTATTTGGCTACTTTCTTCTGTTTCTGGCCTGTGGCAAATGAACCTACATATTTTCTTACTCATTGAAAATTCATTAATTTTATGAGAATAATCTTTTATTGGACTAATTACTTTTTTCTTTTTAAATTTGTAGGGGCTGGCTATTCATTATTTCTACCAAAGCAGGGACTCTTGGCATTAATCTCGTAGCTGCTAATCGAGTAATCGTCTTTGATGCCTCTTGGAATCCATCCTATGATATTCAGAGTATATTCAGGGTTTGTCGTTTTGGTCAAAATAAGCCAGTCTTTGTATACAGGTTTTTAGCTCAGGTAGGTTTCAGCTTTTCATGTAAAAAATTGAGAGTACAAGCAAAAGTTTCAAACTGGTGAGCAATTATAGGTTAAGTTAAATGACATTCCATTCTTTACATACAGTCAACTTTAGTATTTTCCCTGAACAGACAAGGCCATCTCAAAATATGTTCATTGGTCAAGTAATTCCCCTCCCCTAAGTAATACCATACATGTAGATGTAGATGTAGATGTATATATGTACAGATATACACACGTATATCAATATATTTGCCAGTCATTTTATTAAGTACTGGGATTTCAAAGAAAAGCAAAAACAGTCCCTTCTCTTACTGACCTCACAGCATGCAAACAGCTCTGTTGTTTGAGATATATAGAGTATACCAAAAGCAATCAGCATTCAGAGGATCTGGAAAAGGCCTCTGGCAGAAGTAAATTGAAACTTCAGGTAAGAAAGGAAGCTTTAGAGACAAGAAAGGTGAACATTCCAGCCAGCAAAAAGGCACTTGCTTGGGAAATAGAATCATGTGTGAGCAATGACAAGAGGGTCATTGTCATTAAATCGATGTAAGTGGAAGGGAGTTAAGCCTAAGAAGATAGAGAGGGACTTGAGTTGTAGAATTTTATCCTAGAGATAATAAGGAACTACTAGAGTTTATTGAGTAGGGGGTATGACAAGTCGACCTATGCTTTAGGAATAAAAAGTGAATAAATATGAACATGTATGGATGGATGGATGTATATGTATATATCATACTTGATTAATGCCATCTACTAGCAAATCCCCATACAAATCTACTGCTCTATCTTCTAACTGAGCTGCTATCCAGTATTATGTGGACATCATGCAGGTCACTTCTGAAGGCTATGCTGGCAGTTTCAGGTAGTGTACTCCCAGCTAAGGCTCTTACGTGGATCTTCTCCAAGTGTTTGAAACTCTGACATTGGTTGACCTACAATGACGAAAGAAGAAATCCAATGGGGCAAAGAAATGGAAGTCGCCTATATATTCGTAGCCATGTGTTGGCATTGGTTGAAGAATACAGCAACCAATTTGGTCCTGCTTTTTATCACTCAGGGGTTTATAGAAGTTCTTCCTCATTCAGAAGCCTCCATGGAGAGATAGCTCACCTTCCTCTGTTAGAGAATTTTGTATATACAATTAGTTCTGACTTAGTAGCCAATTAAAAGACTTTCCAGTCAGCTCATAGGAAAGTCACTGAATGCCTGCAAATGCTTGAAAAATGGCTATCTGAGGCCTCATCATTATACATCAGCATGTATTTCTGGAAGCAGATTCTCCCGATATCTGAATGAGTCCGCAAAGTGGATTGTTGATGCTTAAAGGACTTGGTTAGCCTTATGTGTCTTTATATGCACAAGTTAATTCCCAGATAGTTTGAAAAAGAAAATACTGGAAAGTCACTTTCACAGCAGTAAATGGAATAATGGAATAGGATGTAATCTGTGGAGTCAGAGAGACCAATTCGGAGGCCATTGTAGTCATTCAGAAAAGAGGTTGTGAGGGTCTCAATTAAGGTGGTAGTTGTGTGAGGGATTTTTGTAAAGATAGAAATGACAGTCTGGCAAGATTTGCATCTATACAGTAAGGAAGATTGAGGATAATACTGAAGTCCCAAAGCTCGGAGACTGGAAGATGGTGGCATCTTAAACAATATTAGAGAAATGTGAAAGAACAAAAGGTTTAAGGGGAAAGACAATGAGTTCAGTTTCATATATGTTTACTGTAGGGTTTCTATAGGACATTCAGTTTGAAAATCTGGAAGTCATCAGCGTAGAGATGATGGTAAAAAGTGATTACCAAGAGGAAGGGTAGGGAGGGAAAAGAGAAAAGGGCTTAAAATCAAACCTTATGGACACCAGTGGTTAACTGCCATGATATTAATGATGGAGCCCACAAAGGAGACTAACAGTAATTGAAGAGAATTACATCTGGTTTTTGTGGATTCAAGTTATCAAGCACTGGCTATGCAAAACCAAAATCTTTGAAGTAAAATTTCATAGTGGTGAAATGTGCATGTGTTATCTAATTATGGGTTCTAATTCTTATACAGGGAACTATGGAAGACAAGATCTATGAACGTCAAGTAACCAAGCAATCACTCTTTTTGAGTTATTGATCAACAGCAAATTGAACGCCATTTTACTTTGAATGAACTGACTGAACTTTATACATTTGAGCCAGAGTTACTAGATGATCCTAATTCAGAAAAGAAGAAAAGGAAGGACACTCCTATGCTGCCAAAAGTATGTATGATAATTTAATTATTATTAAGCCTAGTACAGAAGAGAGATATTTTTATGAATAATTTTAAAAGTAATCATAATAATTTAGTTGCAGATTTAAAAAAATATTTATTTTTCGTTTTCAATATTCATTTCCACAAGATTTTCAGTTCCAAATTTTCTCCCCATCTTGCCCCTCCCTCCACGCCAAGACAACATGCATTCTGAATGCCCCTTCTCCTAATCTGCCCTACCTTCTATCAACACTCCCTTCTTTTATCCCCTTCCCCTCTTATTTTTCCTGTTGGGCAGGATAGATTTCTATACCCCATTGCCTATATATCTTATTTCCCACTTGCATGTAAAAACAATTTTTAAAATTTGTTTTTAAAGCTTTGGGTTCCAAATTCTTTCCCTTCCTCCCTCCCTGCCCACCCTCATTGAGATGACAAGCGACTCGATACAGGTTATACCTGTGTAGTTATGCAAAACACTTCCATAGCTTTCATGTGGTGAAAATTATTTGCAGATATTAAAGAAAGTTTGAATTTCTTCAATAAAATGGTAAAGGTTAATATTCATATTACCAAATCTATGGGTTGATGTAAATAATTAAAGTGTCTCTGAAATTCATTGTCTTGGAGAGTTGCTTGGCACACTGAGAAACTATGTAACTTACCCAGAGTCACACGTGGGACTTTTATTCTGGTCTCAGTTCTAAGACCTGTTTCTCTTCAGTATACCAGGCTGCTTCATTATAACGAAAGTATTTAGTAAATTGTAAGGTGTTATATAAATTTAAGCTATTATTGCTACACACAGTATTATAATCAGAAAAACATTGTGCAGTAATGGAATCAGGAAGTCCTGAGTTCAAATCCAGCCTTAGACATTAGCTATGGGACCCTAGGCAAATCACGTGAAGACAGTATACCTTGGAAAGGACCCTGAAGGATTATACTCAGTTTTGCTGGGTAAGTGATTCTTGGTTTTAAGCCTAGCTCCTTTGACCTTCAGAATATTATATTCTAAGCCATCCCATTCCTTAATGTAGAAGCTGCTAAGTCTTGTGTTATCTTGCTTGTGTTTCCACAATGCTTGAATTGTTTCTTTCTGGTTGCTTGCAATATTTTCTCCTTGACCTGGGAAATCTGAAATTTGGCTACAATATTCCTGGTAGTTTTCCTTTGGGGATCTCTTTCAGGAGGTGATTGGTGGATTCTTTCAATTTCTGTTTTACCCTCTAGTTCTAAAATATCAGGGCAGTTTTCCTTGATTATATATATACAGATATAGATATATAGAGTTTTATTTTTTTTTGTGAGGCAATTAGGATAATTTCTCAAAAGATGATGTCTGGGCTTTTTTTTTTTTGATCATGGCTTTCAAGTAGTCCAATAATTTTTAAATTCTCTCTCCTGGATCTGTTTTCCAGGTCACTTATTTTTCCAGTGAGATGTTTCACATTGTCTTCTACTTTTTCATTTTTTTGGTTTTGTTTTATTGTTTCTTGAGTTCTCATGAAGTCATTAGCTTCCAGTTGCTCCACTCTAATTTCTTTTCACTCTACTTTTTAAGGAAGTATTTTCTTCAGTGAGCTTTTGGACTTCCTTTTCCATTTGGCCAGTTCTGCTTTTTAAGACTTTCTCTTCATTGGCTTTTTGGACCACTTTTGCCATTTGGATTAGGCTATTTTTAAAGGTGTTAATTTTTTCAGTATTTTTTTGAGTCCCCTTTAGCAAGCTGCTGTTTTTTGGGGAAATCTCTGGTAGAAAACTAAAAAGAATCAATGAATTTTTTTCTCTAAATGCAAGCTGTTTTAGAGAATGTATTGTTTTAATTTGAATCTGCAGTGCTTTGCACTTACAAGACATTTAATAAACATCGAATGAGTCATTAGTTGAAATGCACACTGGAACTGGGTATTATAGGCATTATCATCCCCATTTTACAGATGAGAAAGGTGAAGGTAAGAGAGAGTAAGCCCCTATTTTACAAATGAGGAGCCAAGAATAAATACTTCTCTCACAATAATAAAGCCATAACACCATAGTACAAATCTACTATTTACGATTCTGTTGCTCTTTTTCTTACGCTGACTGTCTCAAAATAAAGCCGAATTAAAAATCAGATATTTAAGGCTGACCTGCATGTTGTCAAGAAAACATGTTCTGGTTCTTAGATTTAATGCTGATTTATCTTTTCTTTCTTTCTCTTTTTTAAACAGGACACAATCCTTGCAGAATTGCTTCGACCTACACACAAAATACATTGTAGGGTATCATGAACATGATTCTCTTTTGGACCATAAAGAAGAAGAAGAACTGACTGAGGAGGAAAGACAAGCAGCATGGGCAGAATATGAAGCAGAAAAAAAGGTCGAGTCACTTAATTCCTTTATGGCATACTCAAAACTATACAGTATTGTTAAAAACATTTATAGTAGAATTTACCTATTTTAATACTCAGACCTCAGAATGAGAAGCATCCTGGAAATCTGGCCTTGAAGCCAAGAAGACTTGGGTTCAAATAACACTTATGTCATATTAGAACTATGTAACCCTAGGCAAATCATATAATCTCTCTATATTCTTTACAACCATCTTAAAGATGTATAAATAACAGAGAAGGTGCTCTCCTGGGAATTTGCCTTATCTAGGAGTTCCACAATCCCTATGGTCTTTCCCTAGCCCTAAGGATACAGCTTTACTTGTTGCTAATGTCAGTTCCTTTACATATGCATCTGTTCCTAAGCTCTCCCATATTTTCCAGCAGATTACATCTTCATTCACCTCTTCCCCACTCCAATTTTCAGCTTCCCTCTACCAATACGTTCTTTCCTTCCCACCTTCAAATGTATTCTGGTCTTGCCCATCCTTAAAACACCTCCTACTATGCTCTCAAGCTATTGTCTTAAATCTTTCTTCCCTTTCTTATCCAAACATTGTGGGGTCCAGAATTGTCCAATCTATAATAAAAGAAACTGAGGCAGAGCTCCAAGCCAGTAGCACTTTACTTAGGGTCACAATCTTCCTCATGATATAAGATGCCCCTAGTTTTCTAGTGCTTCATACCCAGTTGATACAGAAGAGGCATAGTAAAGTAGTCTTATTGGTTGATAGATCTTGACCTTGATCCTCTGGTTGAGGACCAGTCTTCTAAACAAAATAAAGAATGTCATTGGTTGACCAATGAGCTAACAAGCAGACCTTGACAGACTTAGCTTGACCTTTCAGGTGGTCTTACCAAGCCAATGAGGAAACCCATGGAGATATCAAAACATGACTATAGTTTTGCATATATATGTTCTTTTCTTCTTCCTTTGTTTCTTTAGATTTGCCTTGTGCTTAGTACACTGTAGTAGTCAACATTTATCACTTTACATATATGAAAATGCAGGCAGTTTTGTTTGTGTGACATAATTTTCTACCTATAGACATCCACAATTCTTCAGCGTAATAAGTGGTATTAAATTGCGTGTTCCAAGCCTTAATATTGGAAACTATTTTTGTCTCTTTTTTTGTTTCATAGGGCCTGACTCTGCATTTCACTTTGCCTACTGTCACTTTGAGCTCAGAGCCTCCATTTATTCCTTTTGATATGGAAGCCCTCTCATCCATGAGCCATCAAGAGGTGGAAGTAAGTTTTGAAAAAAAGAAAGAGATATAAATATAAATCTGAATCCGAATCACTGAAGTTTAAAGACAGTCTCTGCCTGTCTGTCTGTGTTGTAGTCAGTCAAACTATGGACATGAATCTTACGCATTTTCTAGAATGCAAATTTAAAAAAGAGTCCCTGCCTTCAAAGAGCTAATAGGTTCCCAAATAAGTAAGAAGAAAATATAGACAAAATAAATGTACAGTGATTAGGATCATTTGTTAATATTGATTTAGTAATAATGTTCAGAATTCAAAAGAGCTGTACAAGGCAAGGAACAAAATGGGAATAGGCAGCGAAAGGGGACATAAGGGTAAATGGACCAAAGGCTGTTTGCTAGGATTCTGAATCAAGTATCCACAAGTGAGCAAACTCTATCCACTGTGCTAAAGAATCTGAAGGTTTGTCTATTTTATTGCTTTTTCTAGCTCTTACTTTTATTTCCTAGTTCAGTAGTAGGCTTAATTTCAGTTTTATTAATGTCTCCTTGGGTTTTCAGAATTTCTAATTTGATATTTAATTTGGGATTTTCAGTTTGTTCTTTTTCTAGCTTTTTTAGCTGCATGACCAATTCATTGATCTTCTCTTTTCCTATTTTATGTATGTAAGCATTTAGAGATATAAAACTTCCCCCAAGAACTGCTTTCACTACATCCCAAAAGTTATGGCGTGTCGTCTCATTATTGTCATTCTCTTGGGTGAAGTTGTTGATTGTTTCTATGACTTGTTGTTTGACCCATTCATTCTTTAGGATTAGATTATTTAGTTTCCAATTGATTTTTAGTCTCTCTTTCCATGGCCCTTTATCACATGTAATTTTTATTGTGTCATGATCTGAAAAGTAGGTATTTAATATTTCTGCCTTTCTGCATTGGATTGTGAGGGTTTTAGGCCCTAGCACATGGTCACTTTTTATGTATGTGCCATGTACTGCCAACAAATAAGTAATTCCTTTCTATGCCCATTCAGGTTTCTCCAGAGGTCTATCATATCTAAATTTTCCAATGTTCTATTAGCCTCTTTAACTTCTTTCTTGTTTATTTTGTGGTTAGATTTATCTAGTGCAGAGGTCTCCCACTAGTACGGTTTTGCCATCTCTTGCTTCCTGTAATTCCCTGAACTTCTCCTCTAACAATTTGGATGCTATACCATTTGGTGCATCTATGTTTAGTAATGATATTACTTCATTATCTATGGTGCCTTTTAGCAGGACGTAGTTTCCTTCCTTATGTCTTTGAATTAATTTTGCTTTTGCTTTGTCTGAGATCAGGATCGCTACCTTACTTCAGCTGAAGCATAATACATTCTGCTCCAGCCTTTTACCTTTACCCTGTATGTTTCACTCTGCTTCAAATGTGTTTCTTGTAAGCAACATATTGTATGATTATGGTTTTTAATCCACTCTGCTTTTCTGCTTCTGTTTTATGGGAGAGTTCCTCCCATTCACATTCACAGTTATGATTGCTATCTGTGTCTTTCTCTCTATCCTATTCTCACCCCCATTTATGTTTTTCTCTCTTCTTTCTCCCTTTCTCTCCTCGCTAGAATTTGGCTTTTGGCCACCGCCTCCCTCAATCTGTACTCCCATCTATCAGCCCCCTCCTTTTTCTTTCCTTTTAACCTTACTACTTCTTCCATCCCTTTTCTTTCCCCTTACTCCTCCTACTGCCTATAGGGCAAGCTAGATTTCTGTATCTGATTATGTTATCTCTTCTTGGAGCCTAATCTGATGAGAGTAAGGTTCAAACAATGCTCATCTCCCTCCCTTTTTTCCCCTCTCCTGGAGAAGGTTTCTGTGCCTCTTCATATAATGTAATATGTACTTGCCTGCCTCCCTCCTTTCCTCTTCTCCTACTACAATCCCTTTTCACCACTTAATTAGAATTTTTACCATCACATCAAAGTAAGCTTGTACCTACATCCTCTATCTATGTATATCCCTTTTCAATAGCATAAGAACAATACAGTTTTCTTTTTTTGTTTGTTTGTTTTGTTTTTTGGGTTTTGGGGGGGTTTTAGGCAATGTTAAGTGACTTGCCCAGGGTCACATAGAGCTAGTAAGTGGTATATGTCTGAGGTCAGATTTCAACTCAGGTCCTCCTGAATCCAGGGCTGGTGCTCTATGCACTGTGCCACCTAAGTGCCCCACAATACAGTTTTCAAGAGTTGCAAGTGTCATCTTCCCTTGTAGGGATGTAAGCAATCTGTTCTTATTAATAACATGTTATATTTCCTTTCCTGTTTATCTTTCTATGCCTATTTTTTCAATTCAATAAACATTAAGTACCTAGTATGTGTAAGTTACTATACTAGACATTATATATTAAAAACCAACAGAATTGCCTTCAAAGATCTTATATTCTGCAGTGTATGTGGTTGTGTGTATGTGCGTATCTACATATAAATAATGAAATATATGTTTAATTGAAAAGGGGAGAGAGCACTAAGAAAGAAGGGAAAAGGGGTAAGTTGAGTCTTATTAAGTTGAGTCTTATATAAGACTTGAGTCTTATATTTGAAGGTCAAATTTTCTATTGATCTGGTCTTTACATCAGGAAGGTTTGAAAGTCCCCTATTGCATTGAATATCCATCTCCTGATGGAAAAGTGAATGACTCAGAGTGTAACTGGAAATGGTCAGTGCAGAAATTTATTTTGCTTGCCTATATGTAAAAAGGATTTTGTTTTTCTTACTTTCTAAAGTAGGGAAGAAGTTTCGACTGGAGAGGGATGGAGAAGGTAGATTTCTATTGATCGAGAAAAATAAAGTAAAATTTCTTTAAATTAAAAAAAATACTTATTGTTTGTGAGCCGAGAGGACCAGGAAAGTCCAGTTGACGAGATAGCAATTAAGCAGAGTCTTAAAGGAAGCCTTAGATTCCTTTTAGCCAAAGTGAGAAGGGAAAATATTTCTGTCATGGGGTTCAACCAGTATTAAAATATACCACATTGGGGCAGCTAGGCGGCACAGTGGGTATAGCACTGGTCCTGGATTCAGGAGGACCTGAGTTCAAATCTGGCCTCAGACACAGAACGCTTAGTAGCTGTGTGACCCTGGGCAACTCACTTGACCCCATTGCCTATCCTCAAAAAAAAGTAACGCATTGGAAGACTAGCAAATAGTCTAGCTGGACTATGGAATACATGAAATGAAATGTCATAATTGGCTGGATGTGGTAGGGAGTGAAAGTAAATAGTCTAGTGTTACATCTAAATCCCAAATTTGAATAATTAGAAAGATGTGCCCACAGTGATCATAAGGAAGTTCATTTTAAAGGGGAAGTTTTAAAGGAAAATATGAGTTCTGTTGTAAGCATATTGAATTTGAGATATTGTTGAGATGATTAGTTCCAAATGTCCAAAGGGTAAGTGGCGATAAGGATAAAATTCTGTGGATTGGCTAAGCCTGATAATCAGGATCTTGTCCGCTATTAAGGTTGCCATCTTCTTTTTTTCCCCAAAACTTAGTGATAAAACATTGTCAGTATCTGATGTTGAGCCATTTAATGGTGCTAAGGACATATGTCTGTTTGTGTGTCTACTAATCTAAATATGCATATGCAAGTTTATATGTATACGTGAGTTTACATTGATTCTATGTTATTTTTATTGATCCTGTTTATAATTAGTATTGTCCTTTAACTGCCTAAGTCATGGTTCTTTGTTTCTGACCTTAATTCAGAAGTTTAGCGGGCCTGTAATTGAGTTAAGTTCAGAAATCCAGCCAATAACTCTTCTCTTCTCACCTCATGGAATTCTTCTGTCTAGCATATTTGTTCAGCTATGTGAGTAGTAGTGTTGTCCTCAGCCCCATGGGTTCTATGAGTTCTCATTAGCCTTAATGGGTTTGGGGTTTTTTTTGGGGGGGAAGAGGGAGAAGTTTGCTCTACCTCTTGCTATTTTTTCATCTTGACTTCACTTCCTTCTCTTTTGCTTTATAATTTTCATCTGTTGCTCCAAGTTCAGATCAAAGTGGATATATCTAATTCCTCTTTAGCCAGATAGCTCTTCAAATATATGATTATTACCATGTAATACAAAAAACAAAGTTAATATCCACTATCTTCACCAACAAGGTTGAACTCTGGGCAGATTTCTTGTTGCCAATGACCTTCTTTAAACTCACACCCAGAACTGAACAAAACTTTCTATATGTGGTCTGACAAGGCCAAAATACTGTGGAAATAATATGTTCCTCATGCTGGGTGCTGTACTTCTTACAATGTTCATTCTTTAGTGCTCTTTCCTTTCTTTCTCTGACATTGCCTTTTTGGTACATTTACTGATATCCTTTGTTAGCTCATATACTTCCATCTACCCAAATGTGGTAATAGGTATCATGTGACGCATTAGGTTTTGTGTTTTGTTTTGAAGTTGTCATGTTTAATACAATAACTTTGGAAATAATGTACATATTCATTGTTATGAATGAAAAACCCTGAGATACAGAATTTCTGGTTAATTAACAACAAGTTATTAATTAGACTATCTAATAAGCAATAAATGATGATCAATGTTTTCTCTCTAACCAAAGACCCTTAATGGAGATTCTGAAAGCCCTAAATCCCTTCTGAAAGGCAATCCCTTAATAAGTGAAAGTCAACTCCAAATGTCTTCACCTACTGCTACTGAAAATGTGGTTTGAACATGAAACTCAGCTGCTTCCAGCTATCTGGCTGGTTCTCTCCTTCATTAGCTGGGTCACTCTAAATTCTAATGGAGGGATACAAGAACAGGAGCTTTTTTCCCCAGGGTAAGAACTCATTTAGACTGGATTTGGTTTATCCTCTAAATAGAAGTCTCCTAGTTGGGAGTGGGGTATGGGAAACAAGATCAAGAAACCAACCATCAAACAAAGAGACCCATAGCTTCAGACAAGGCATTAACATATGACAACAGCTGCTGCTTCAACAAAGAGTTTCTGGTGTAACCAATAACGAGACTACCAAGAACAGTTTCAAAATCTGTCACTCCTACTAGGC